CCTGGGCTGTCTGGGAGGAGTGGGGGTGAAGAGTGGAGGTCCAGCGCCGTGGGGCAGCGTGGGGAGCCACGTGGATGGTAGATGGGGTTTGTGTTCTGGCTGCTGTGTGGGAGGTCAGCCTTCTTCCGCACAGCCTCTCCCCAGCCTTTTCCTTTCCCACCCATCCCCCCTCGGCCTGGCCCCTGCCCCCCCCCTGCCCCAGCGGCAGCCCGGGCCTGGCCCCCAGATTCTGTGTCAGAGGCCATGACCCAGGTGTCACTGCTGGCTTCTTCTCTGAATAATTAGATGGGGTTATTGTGTTGAAGGGACAGGCCCCCGGGCAGCGCCGTCCCCCTGGCTGGCCAGACCCAGCAGCTCTCCAGCCCGGTGACCCCGGGAACAATGGACCTGAAAAGCAGGCCCCGCACAAAACCTGGCTGCACAAAAGATTACATGAGAAGTGGACATTTGGCCAGGCACGAGGTGTCATCCTGCAGAACCTTCCCCTTTCTACCCCTGCTCGCGCCCCTTCCTTTCCCTCGTGGCCGCCCTTCGGCTCCATGGGCTGCTGGCCTTCCCCATCAGCCGCTTCTCATGCTCCCGAGCCTCGCAGCCGCACTCCAGCCTCACGTGAAGTCCCGTCCTTGAAGCAAAGCTCATCCGTACCCTTCAGTGGGATTGGAGTTTGAACTCAGCCTCGTAGATTCACATTTTCAGTAGTAATGACTTTTTTTTTTTTAAATTTTTGTCGGTCGTGGTGCTTGAACTTTGGGCCTGGGCGCTGTCCCTCAGCTTTATTGCTCAAGGCTGGAACCCTACCATCTATCTCACTGTTCCACTTCTGGCCTTTTTGGTGGTTAACTGGAGGTACAAATTTTCATGGATTTGCCTCCCATGTGGACCTCCCACTGCGATCTTCAGATCTCAGCCTCTTGGAGCCTCTTAAGATGACAGACAGGTGTGAGCTACCAGCACCCCAGCTATAATTTTTTATTGGTACTATTATCATCATTCTACGTAAGTGTTCAACGCTTTAATGAATAAAAATTTTCCCAGTAGTTTCAGAATGCCAGTATCATCATCAGACTCAATTGACAGGTGATTATAACTAAGATATATAAGGAGAAGATAGTTTTCCCACATTCCCATACAACAATAGCCAGGTGGAATTGAATGCAGGCAGGCTGGGATTGAAATCTCAGTCCTGAAGCCCTGCTCTCAACTGGGCTTCGCATCAGAGCTGTCTACTCTTTGTCCCGGCCTCCTCTGAAGAAGATATCGGGTGAGAACAACATGAGATTCTTAGAGCTTTTAGAGATTCACACAAAATAGACAAACAGGCATCCCAGTCATTTTTTTTAACTGCTCTGCAAATCACCGTCATTTTCTAAAACTTAAGCAGCAGCAGCCATTCTGGATGCAATTTGCTCAGTCATCAGTGGGCCTCTCTCACTTTAGTGTGAGTGGGTGTGGGTATGTGTGGGGGTAAATGGGGCCCTGACTTCTCTTTACAGACACATGGATGCCACCTGGTGGTAGTCAGGAGAAACGCAGGTTTTGCAAGTCAATCTTGGGATATGAACATCATAAGGACTTGGGGGTTTTGTTGCCTAGTCTTCCAGAAACACTTTGCAATGAAAAATGAGCATACTATACCAAAAGTTTCAAATGCATCACTTAAGAGGTGGCATAAAGATACCGTTAGTGCGCTTGCCATTGTTAACTCCTATTTACTTAGGATGGAATTAGGTTCTTGGTGAATCCAGCTTTGAAAATTTGTAGCAGTAACTGGTACCCATGGCTCACACTTACAATTTTAGCAGTTCAGGAGACCAAGATCTGAGGGTCAGTGTTCAAAGCCAGCCCAGGCAATAAAGTCCATTTCACGACCAAAAAGCTAGAAGCAGAGCTGTGGCTCAGTGGTAGAGTGCTAGCATTGAGCACAAAAAAGCTCAAGGACAGCACCTAGGCTCTTGAGTTCAATCCCTACAACCAGTGGAAAGAAAAAAAAATGGCATGACAGAGCATTGGGCATTTTCTTGACATTCATTTTTTTTTTGTTCTAAGTCACCGAGAGAACTAAACACCCACTTGAAAAACTGGGATATAATTAACAGATTGAATTTGTTTTGGTGTCCATCTGTTGCTGGCTATTGCTAATGCTAGCCGTGAACCGCTTCCATATTTCACATCCGTGAAATGATGTACTATTCTTGCCGTGTGTGGTAGGACTATCACTTTAATATGGAGGATGCGGGCAGAGGCAGGTGGATTTGACAGGAAGGCCTTTGTAACCGTGTGACATGGTGGTGTTTTAATCATAAACAGGTGGCCTGGCCCTTTAAGTCACACACACACACACACACACACACACACACACACACACACACACATATCATATGCACACTTGGGAGCCTTCATCTAATCTACACTCTTAGGGACTTATTAACAGAGACAGCCGGCAGAGCTCAGCTTCAGTATTTGGGCATCGCTAATGTGATGGGCTTCTAGACCTTGTTTATATGAACAGTTACCTTTGAACATTCATAAAACCCAACAGGACGATTCTCAGATTTAAAGTAAGTGTGTCATTTTGGGGAGGCCCTTCTTTTCTATCCTTCCAGGCAATACTATTCTACTCATTAACTACAGGTGTGTTGTGCAGCTGCCAGTGGTAGAAAGTAGGTAATAATTGCATGTGGCTTAGTGGTAGAGTGCTTGCCTTGCGTGCATGAAGCCCTGGGTTTGATTCCTTAGTACCCACACAAACAGAAAAAGCTGGTGCTGTGGTTCAAGTGGTAGAGTGCTAGTCTTGAGCACAGAGAAGCTCAGGGACAGTGCCCAGGACCTAAGTTCATGCCCCAGGACTGGCAAAAAAAAAAAAAAGGTAGTAATTAAGCATGGTTTCATTTAAAACTCATATATTTATAACTTAGACAAGTAAGAAACTTCAGTCTTTAGGCTAGAGACACAGCCGTTTTAATAATATACCTGCACTCCAGCTGTACTGTCATAAATCAAAATGTTTGGGATCAGATTTGTGTCAAATGGACTTGAGTTCTTCCTTCCTTCCTTCCTTCCTTCCTTTTTTCTTTCTTTCTTTCTTTTTTCTATCCTTCTGTCGGTCGTGGGACTTGAACTGGGCTTGGGTGCTGTCCCTCAGCTCTTCAGCTCAAGGATAGCACCCTACAACTTGAGCCACAGTGCCACTTTGGCTTTTTCTGCTGCTGTGATGCTGAGGAATGGAACCCAGGGATTCATGCATGCAAGGCAAGCACTTTACCACTGAGCCACCTTCCAAGCCCATGAACTTGAGTTTTCTAATCCTTCATCATTATTAAAAAAAAAAATCAGTCACAGGGTTTGAACTCAGGGCTTGAACACTGTTCTTAAGCTCTTTTTGCTCAAGGCTAGTGCTCTACCACTGGAGCCACAGCTCTACTTCTGGTTTTCTGGTGCGTAATTGGAAATAAAAGTCTCATGGACTTTGTTTCCCTGGCTGGCTTTGAACTGTGATCCTCAGAGATCAGCCTCCTGAGTAGCTAAGATGATAAGTATGAGCTACTGGTGCCCAGCTCGGTTTTGTTTTTTTCTTTCAGCTGAGAAGTAGAAGTCTCAGTGGGTGATAAATGCTCACGTTGGCATTGCTTCAGGGCTATGGTTCTAAGGTCCGCTCATGAAATTGACTGCTAGGACAGCGCATCCCATTTCTGGCAGCTTCATAAATAAGAATAAGCCAGGTTGCTCTAGGGTTTTAGATTGAAAAACCCAAATACAATAAAAACCTTAACCTCCTGAGTAGCCAGGATTTACAAGCGTGAGCCACTGGCACTCGATTTAGAATTAGGTTTATTCTTTCATTCTGTGTCGTCTTCTCCAAATGATGTGTCTCTGTTAAGGATGATTTTTTTCTCTTATTAATACTGAATTTGTTATTTTTTTGTGTTTATTTTGCTGTTTTTCCTTTAGAGTAGTAATTATTTCCAGGCAGCATTTGGGGGGAGGATTGAAAGTGCTTTGTAGTTATATGCCACCACAAGCAGATAATTTAAAATTTGTTTATATATTATTATTCTTGAGTGTTTACATTTCATATTCATTAAAATGCATAGCCATTTCTTCAATGCCCTGTAAAAAAGTGCATGGGATGAATATTATTAGTGTCATAGCTGATAGATACCAGCAGAGGGAGCTCCAACTCTCTTTTCTTGTCTTGAAAATGTAGGTTGTTTTCGAAGGGAAAACAGAAATAAACTAAAAAAAAACATTTAAAACTTTAATAGGACATGGCCTATATTAGTTTTTAGTTTATTTCTCTGGTACTGAAGTTTTAACTCAGCCTGCATGCTGCCCCTTAGATTTTTCCACTCAAAGCAAATCCTTTACCAGTTGAGCCATAGCTTTACTTCAGGTTTTCTGCTGGTTAATTTGAGATGAGTCTCATGGACTTTCCTGCTGGGAAAGTCCTGGTTTGGAACCGTGATCCTCAGATTACAGCCTCTGGAGTAGCTAGGGTTACCGGCATGAACAACTGGTAGCTGGAGACTTCAGCCTTTTAAAAAATCAGGTGGATAGCTAAGCCACACTGTACAGAAGACTGAAGCAAAGTTTTATTCAAAACTTTTATTTTATTTTTTGGGTCCGGTCGTGGGGCCTGAACTCTGGGCCTGCACGCTGTCCTTCAGCTCTTCAGCTCAAGGCTAGCGCTCTACCACTGAGCCACCTTCCCAGTCCTCAAAACTTTTATGTAGGGCTGGGAAGGTGGCTCAGTGGTAGAGTGCTTGCCTAGCATGCACGAAGCCCTGGTTCCATTCCTCAGCACCACATAAACAGAAAAAGCCAGAAGTGGCGCTGTGGCTCAAGTGGTAGAGAGCTAGCCTTGAGCACAGAGGCTCAGGGACAACACCCAGGCCCTGAGTTCAAGCCCCACAAACATCAAAAAGTCTAGATAGGCTCTGTGTAGATCTTTCACTCATTGCCAGAGAGCTGATTCTAATGATTACCTGTGGATTTGCTCATAGACCCCCGAAGAAAATACCACGTGAGGCTGCTGGCCTACAACAGCGTCGAAGATGGCTACCAGGCGGACCAGACGGTCAGCACTCCAGGCTGTGTGTGTGAGTGCCAGTTCAGCGGCTCTCCGCTCTCCCTCACACCTGTTCCTCTTCCTGTCCAGGTCTTGTTTGTACTCAGAGGCCTTGCTGGGTTTAATTGCTTTCCATCCCTCGTGCTGCCGTTGTATCTAGGTGCTCAGTAAATATTTGAGGGAGTTTCCCAGTTCTCGTTTTGATTTTGCAAACAAAAAGACGGCTAGACATTTACCTGGGGAGATAAAAACCTCACGGAACACTTAGCATACTAAATTTTCTTCTGTCTGTCTTCACCACGAGGCTAATTATTTCGCTGCAGTTGCTGTTGTTCTGTTGCTATTACAGAGTATGTTCTTCTCCAGGCTACCGCTCTTAAAGCCACAACTCCACCTCCAGTTTTCTGGTGGTTCGTTGGAAATAAGAGCCTCACAGACTTTCCCGCCAGGGCTGGCTTTGAACCACGATCCTCAGTTTGCAACCTAGCTACTCTCCTGAGTCACTAGGATTACAGGTGTGAGCCACCACCAATGACCGGTGTGCTTCTGGTGTTTAATCTGTGAAGCATTGATTGTGTTTGACTCTTTCTCTAATAAATGGGAGAGTTCTTTCCAGATCACTACGAATGAATCTCTGGTGGGGTAAAAGAAAAAACAACAACAACAACAAAAAAAAAACCTAACTACTGGAGTGGGACATGATGATTTTACCACCTGGCCAGTTTCTACATTGACCATTGCGTCAGTTACATGTTGGATCTTTCCATAGCGGTTCGGGATCGAATGGTTCCTCCTCCGCCACCCCCTCACCACCTCTACGCGAAGGCGAACACCTCCTCCTCCATCTTCCTGCACTGGCGGAGGCCCGCGTTCACCACTGCGCAGGTCATCAACTACACCATCCGCTGCAACCCGGTCGGCCTGCAGAATGCTTCCTTGGTTCTCTACCTGCAAACGTATGTAGCTCCGACTAATACTTATTTTCTTTGCTTCTTCCCCATTCAAATGTGTGTGTGTGTATGTATGTATATGTACACATATATTTTTAAACCCTCATGAACCCAGCTTGGGCTTCAGTTGTATGCATTTGTTTCAGGGAGAATCTTCTAAAATATGGTGGCTACAAGCTTTGCCTGTCACGTTTTTACCTAGCATAGAAGTGTTTGGGTATGGGAAACTTAGGTGGATGTGTTAAAGAATAGCCCTCTTAGGCATATTTTTGAAATTCAGAAAATAAATAAGATGTTGCAGGACATAGGGATTCCCTGTGAAATTCTGGAAGCCCAGCCTCTCCTCTCTCTTACTTTCTCTCTCTCCCTCTCTCTCTTGTTTTTGGGTGGGGTGGGGTGGGGGTGGGGGTGGATGCCAGTGCTGGACATGAATTCAAGTCCTGGGCTCTATCCCTGAGCTTTTTTACTCAAGGCAGGACCTCTACCACTTGAGCCACAGCTCCACTCTAGCTTTTGATGAGACAAAAAGTCTCATAGTCTTTCCTGCCATTGCTGGCTTTGAACCACGATCCTTGGAGCTCAGCCTCCTGAGCAGCTGGGAGTGAGCATGGTAGCCCAGTCTATTTTTTTTTTTTTAATCAGCATCTTCTGGAAGCGTAGTTTTCTCTTAGAGAGAGGCAACTTGTAGGCTTAATTCTGAAGGATAATATCCAAGCTGCCATTTTAAGAGCAGATTCCATTGCGTTTATCGTCTGAGTGTCTTTAAGACAAGTCACGGACTGATGAGTACACAGTAGTGTGTGTTGCCTGTTGGTTGGGAGGCTGACAGTCTGGTGGAAACAGTTTGGTAGCTTCCAACGATAATGATGTTTTCCCTCTTTATTTTAGGTCAGAGACTCACATGTTGGTTCCAGGGCTGGAACCAAATACCAAATATGAGTTTGCTGTGCGATTGCATGTGGACCAGCTCTCCAGTCCCTGGAGCCCCGTGGTCTACCACTCCACACTTCCAGAAGGTAAAGGAAGCCGCAGCTGTCTAGCGTTTGCCTCTTAAAAGATTATAAGGAAATGATTAAAATTCATTATGTGCATGTATGGAAACCTCCAATGAAAATGCTTTGTACAGTTACTATACACTAATGAAAAACAGTGTCTAAAGTCTATCTCTATCTGTATCACTTTGGCAAGGATAATATCCTGAGTTTTCAACTACCAATGGATGGGCATCCACCTTTTTTTTTCTTTTTTCCCCTTCGGTGCTTACACTCAGGACCTGGACACTGTTCTTTAGCATTTTTACTCAAGGCTGGTGCTTTCCCACTTGAGCCACACTTCCATTTCCAACTTTTTTTCTGATTAATTGCAGATAAGGGAATCTTTACTGACTTTCTTGCCTAGGCTGACTTCGAACCAGAATCCTCATGACTTAGCCTCTCGAAGTAACTAGGATTATAGGCATGAGCCACCAGCAAGTGACTTTTTTCTTTTTCTTTTCTTTTTCTTTATCTGGTAATCATAAAAGTAAAATTAACTTTCAGAAAAGGAAGAGAAAACAGTAATTTACTATCAATTATTGTTCATGGTATTTAAAAGCTTTGTAGTAGCTTTTAGTTTTTCGAACTTGCTTCTAGGCTTCTCCACCTATCAGACAGGCCTTTGAGTGTTTATGAACCATTTTATTTTTATTTATTTGTCTATTCATTTATTTAGTTCGTTGGTCGTGGGGCTTGAACTCGGGTCCTGGGCGCTGTTCCTGATCTTTCCTTCTCAAGGCTAGCTAGCACTCTGCCACTTGGAGCCACAGCTTCCCCCACTTGTGGTTTTGGAGTGGTTAGCTGGAAATAAGAGTCTCACAGTCTTTCCTGCCTGGCTTGACTTTGAACCAGTGATCCTCAGATCTCAGTTTCCTGAGTAGTTAGGATTACAGGAGTGTGAGCCACCGGCGCCCAGCTGAGCCATTTTATTTTACTGTAATAATGCACTCCTTTTTTTGTTGTTGTTGTTGTTGGTCGTGGGGCTTGAACTCTGGGCCTGGGTGTTGTCCCTCAGCTCTTCAACTCAAGGTGAGCGCTCTACCACTTGAGCTACAGCGCCACTAATGCACTCCTTTTTTACATTTGTGTGCAGCACCATCAGGTCCCCCGGTTGGAGTAAAGGTGACCCTGATCGACGATGACACTGCCCTGGTCTCATGGAAACCCCCTGATGGGCCTGAGACGGTGGTGACACGTTATACAATCCTGTATGCATCCAGAAAGGCCTGGATCGCGGGAGAATGGCAAGTCATGCATCGAGAAGGTAAACGAGATCATCAGTCATAGTATTAAGGAGACTGAACAGGTAGATTAATAATATAAAGAATATAGGAGAAAAAGAGCAGTGTGTATTTCTATTACTAAAGTATTTGGTTTCATTCAAAGGGCTATTGGGAATTGGGTGCTAGTAGCTCACATCTGTAATCCTAGCTACTTAGGAGGTTGAGATGTGAAGATTGTAGTTCAAAGCCAGCCTGGGCATGCAAATCCAAAAGACACTTATCAGATAATTGGCAAAAAGCTACAAGTAGAGGTATGGCTCAAATGGTAGAGTGCTAGCCTTGAGTGAAAAAGTTAAGGGACAGCACCCACGCCCCTGAGTTCAGGCCCCAGTACTGTGTGTCCCCCCCACAAAAACAAATGATACATGTTGGAAATTTAAATAGTGCAGTAAAGCAGTTTCTCTAACTGTATGCTTGCCAAATAAATTGGATCACCAGTAGTAGGAACATATTTCTTACATCTGATTTCTGTACTTCTTATATCCCATTTGTACAAATGATGCTATCATATATGCTGTAAAGAAAGTCACAGTCAGGCAAAGGAACAAGGTGGTGGAAGAAGTCAGGCAAGTTTACTTGGAAGAAATGACACCTGAGCCTCCCTATGTTGGTGCTCGGGAGCACGAAGGACCCAATGCAGACCTGCTTGGCAGGTTAGAAAATGAGGACATAGCCGGGCGTCAGTGGCTCACGCCTGTAATCCTAGCTACTCAGGAGGCTGAGATCTGAGGATGGAGGTTCAAGCCCCAATCTCTGTCCCCCAAAATAAAGAGACCAGGAAGATTGCACACCACAAATATTGTTGATCTGCTTATAATATTTGAATTAAACGAAAGGCTTTTAGTTTCTGGTAATGACTACTTTTTTGGGCCATACATTAAAAAAAAAAAATTTATAAGGCATTTAGTGATGACTTTATGTCTTCTCCTGTGAAGGAACGGGAAGGCTGACCTGGCGGCTGACCACTGCGTCACGCTGTTCGGAGCCCATCTGCCTGAGAACCTGGTAGCAGTGGGAACTCGCCCTGATGCTAAATAGGGGTTTGTTGATTTAGCCGTCCTGTGCTCAGGTTGCTCACACTCTGTGTAGGCCAAGTGGCAACCAGAGAACAGGAACACAAGTTCTGCTGAGCCCCTGGCCTCACCTCTGCTGGTTTGGCTGCCCGGTGCCACATGGCCTGCAGAGGTGGTCTTAGGAGCATGACCTCAGTGCTGTGATCGCCCCTTGCCACGCTGGCATAGCTGCACACTATTGGCCTTGGCCTGGGCTGCAGTAAGCCTTCGTGAGCCATTTGTAGCTGTTGTAAGGACTCATGAGTGCTGGAAGGGAGGAGTGGGAAGAAACACTTGTAGGAAAGCTAGGTTCCCCTGTGCAACCCAGCTACCAATTCAGTACTGGGCACGTTTGTGATTGAATTTGTTTTGAGAGAGAGAGGTGGAGAAAGAGAGAGACAGAGAGAGAGAGGGAGAGGGAGAGAGAGAGAGAATATGAATACTGAGGTTTGAACTTGGGGCCTTGGTACTGTCCTTTAGCTTTTTTGTTCAAGGCTGATGCTCTACCAGTTGAGCCACAGTTCCACTTCTAGCCTTGTCCTGGTTAATTGGAGATCAGAGTCTCATGGACTTGCCTGGCTAGGCTGGCTTTGAACTGCGCTCCTCAGATCTCAGCCTTCTGCATAGCTAAGATTACAGATGTGGCCACTGTTGTCCAGCTGTGGTTGGATTTCTTAATGTAAGCATTAATTCCCAGGGTAGGCGTTGCTTTTCTAAGGGGGAAAAAAAGTACTTCTTCAACAGATGAGAACAAAAACCAGAAAAGACCCCTGAAGGAATATCAACCTCCAAACAGGAATCTTAACAGTCTTGCCAACAGAGAAAATACCACTAGCTACTAAGCCTCCTGTGTAAATTCACCCAATGATTTACTTTTTGCCCTTTTGTGGAAGAAATCTGACATAATAATTGGGCCATGGAAGGGACGTCCACATGCATTCAGAAATAACGTTGCTTCCAGCTTAAGAACGAAGAACAGGTTCATCTATCACAATCATTACCATAAGTAGTTTTGACTCTTCTAATAAGTGGGGGAAAGGACTCACAGTAGGAATTTGAAAATCGAATTATAATCGTTGATCTGGGTTGAACATGTCCCGTACTCTCTTTGTTGTGTGTATGCTTGGAAGGTTCTATAAATGGTTTCATTTTTGTTTTCTTTTCGTGTAGTTTTGGAGCTTGAATTCTGGGCCTAAGTACTTCCCCACCCCCGAAAGCTAAAGCTCTGTCACTTGAACCACAGCTCTGAATCATAATCTTCCAATCTCAGTCTCTTGCATAGTACCAGCCTGTAATGAGAGAAATTATTTTAAAAATCAAGCCGGGCGCCGGTGGCACATGTCTGTAATCCTAGCTACTCAGGAGGCTGAGATCTGAGGATCGCTGTTCAAGCCAGCCTGGATAGGAAAGTCCATGGAGACTCTTTATCTCCAATTATGTACCAGAAAACCGGAAGTGGTGCTGTGGCTCAAGTGGTAGAGGACTCGCTTTGACCTGAAGAGCTGAGGGACAGCGCCCAGGCCCAGAGTTCAAGCCCCACAGCTGACCCCCCCCAAAAAAAAAAACACAAAATCAAGTGCTGTGTTTTGTGTGACTATAGAAGTTGATTTTGTCATGGATGATGTGTTTCTAGGAGCAATAACCATGGCTTTGCTGGAAAACCTGGTGGCTGGAAACGTGTACATTGTCAAGATCTCTGCCTCCAATGAAGTGGGGGAAGGGCCCTTCTCAAACTCCGTGGAGCTGGCCGTGCTTCCAAAAGAAGCTCCCGAGTCCAACCAGAGGCCCAAGCGTTTAGATTCTGCTGATGCCAAAGGTATAATGCCTCAGCCACAGTGAGATACATACATAGATTTTAACCTTCTATAATTGCCATCAGCCTAAACCCGCACTGGGTTTGCTGAGTGGTTGCTGGTAAAGGTCTGGCCTTCTGGCCTTGTATGTCTGTCTCTGCACAGTGGCTGTCAGACCACTATGCTGCTGGTTTCTTCTTGCCCTGGCTGTGCAGCCAGTAGAGCAGCTAACCCCCACGCCCATCCCCGCCCCCACCCCAGCTCCTGCCACCTAGCAGGCTCTGCAGAAATGCACAGGCTGTGACGGCCAGATGCACAGCAGCATGATTTGCGTTACGCTTTAGCCACAGAAAAGCTGCCTTTCTAGAAAGAAAAGTGGTGGATTTCCACAAAAGCAATTGGAGCTTCAAAGAGGAATCGTTGCCTTCCTCGCCGCCTCTGTCCATCCTGTTCTTGAGGAGGCCCGTGCCCCTGGGGTTCGGGACGAGTCACCTCGTCCACCCCCTCTTCTGCAAAGAAGTGGAAGGGTAGAGGACAGCTTTCAGTGGAGGGGAATGCCAGCTCCACTGAGGACAGCACTAAGGACTCGTGGCTTGATAAGAGTAGCCATTCTGTGCTGTGTGTGGAGTGGGGAAGAAAGGGAATGGAAGTTTTCTTGAAAACAGGCCAGGAGGTAGCCATCGCCGCGACCAGATCATGGGTGAAAAAGGCGGCCACGCCAGTCTCTTCTTTGAGTGTCACGTACTTGGTTCACAATGATCTGGACACTGTCACCTGCTTGTTAATAAACAGACCCCATGGGGCCAGTCCTAGTGAGGGTGTGAGGATCCACTTTCTAACCTGTCCCCAGTGTCCCGTGCGCATCGAGAGCCCAAGCATCACTGCTATGGCGTGTGCAAACAGTTAAGGTCCCTTCATCCCCACAGCTACCTGGCGGTCATGGGACATGAAAGCTGTCCTTCGGGTCATCAGAGAGACATCCGTTCTGAGCCTTGCAGTATGAGAAACTATGGGTGGATGATCACAGATACTGTAATTCCACAGCGTCTAAGTTTGTTCTCAGAATCTTCCACACGAGATAAATTGCCCTGAAACCACTATGATACATGATGAACTCATGCTTTTTCTGTTGAGATACAAAGTCAAGGCTTCTCCTGGGAGAGCAACACAGGGAAGCAGCCTCTGTGGGAGAGTCAAAATGTAGGGAGAGGCTTCTTTGTTGTTATTGTCTTTGGATTGACCAAGTAAACATGCTCTTCTCCAGTTTACTCAGGCTATTACCAACTCGACCAGAAATCCATGACGGGCATCGCCATAGGGGTGGGCATCGCCTTGACCTGCATCCTCATCTGTGTTCTCATCTTGATATACCGAAGTAATTCCAGGTGCGTTCCCATTGCTGCGGGGGTGGAGCGGGTGAAAAGCGTTTGAATGACAGCACCCGCCGGGAACGAGTGGAAATGGAGTGTCTCTTAGGGTGACCGAGACTTTGCCACTTGAAAACAAATGCAGGGTGACCAAGTCCTTACACCTAGAAGAAATGTACATATTGTATAGAGATTTTTTTTTGTCATTTGAAACATATTTTACTGTGCCTATAAAATATACTTAAATGAGGGCCTGCTTTCCTCATTTCCTTCATATTTTGAGAAACACAAAATGGGTTGCTGAGATTGGGTTTTGTTTCTGTCTTAATGGCACACTTAAATCCCAAGCATCTGGCACTCGAGAGAGAGTTCCTGGAATATTTCCTGTTTAAGCAGCAGTTCCAGAAAAGGCTTCATTCACTGAGAACCGCACAGGACACGTGGCTGGGAATTTTCAGACAAGAATGAAGACAGATGGGGCTGCTGGATGCTGGTGGCTCACGCCTGTCATCCTAGCTACTTAGGAGGCTGAGATCTGAGGAACTTGGTTCAAAGTTAGGCCAGGCAGGAAAGTCTGAGAGACTCTTTATCTCTGGTTAACCACACATACACACACACACACACACAAACAAAAACTGGAAGTAGTGGTATGGCTTATAAAACGCTGAATAAGATTGTGAGGTCCTGAGTTCAAGCCTTGGTACCGGCAAAAAAAAAAAAAAAATAGACATGTCTTTGTTAGAATGTTTCCCTCTGGTTCGATGGGGGTTAAGTGTTTGCCAATAACTTGCGTCTTGAGCCCTCAGCTGTATTTGAGCATTTTGTTTTGGCTTTTCCTTTTGTTAAAGTTGTTTTTTAAATTAACATTTTGTTTAGTTTTTTGTAGGTATTTCCCAGGGCAAATGTCCTTTATGTGGCATAGATTTTTCAACAGTTCCCTCTAAGATTCATACTTATAGGCACATTTCAAAAATGTCATGTTAATTAGTGAAAGGGTTAGTTCTGAAATCTTTGTGCATATTAAACTGGCATATTTTTATTGTCAGATTTTAATTTTCTTTTTCTTCTTGTTCTTTGTTTCGGTTCTGGGGCATGAGCTCAGGACCTAGGCACTATCCCTGAGTTTTTTTGCTCTAAGCCAGCTGGCTTCTGGCTTAGGAAATTTTTTTTTTTCAGTCATGGAACTTGAACTCGGGCCTGGGCGCTGCCCCTCAGCTCTTCAGCTCAAGGCAAGTGCTTTACCATTTGAGCCACAGATTCCCCTTCCAGTTTTCTGGTGGCTAATTGGAGATAAAAGTCTCACGGATTTTCCTGCCTGGGGTGACTTTGAACCGTGATTCTCAGATCTCAGTCTCCTTAGTAGCTAGGATTACAGGCGTGAGCCACCAGTGCCCAGCAGGAAAAATTTTATATAAGCAGATATGAAGTAGAAGAAAGTTTCCACAAGTGTAAAGTTTTCAGCAGTGAGTAGAGTTTAAAATCAAAAAAGCTGCTGGGCAGCGGTGGCTCACGCCTGTAATCCTAGCTACTCAGGAGGCTGAGATCTGAGGATCGGTTCAAAGTCAGCCCAGACAGGAAAGTTTATCTCCAATAAACCACTCAGAAAACTGGAAATGGTGCTGTGGCTCAAGTGGTAGAGCACTGTCTGTGAGCTGAACAGCTGAGGGACAGCGCCCAGGCTCAGAGTTCAAGCTCCATGACTGACCAAAAAAAATCTAAAAAGCTGGTGTTTCTGGTACCCACCTATAATCCTGACAACTCAGGAAGCTGAGATCTGAGGATTGAGGTTTGTAGCCAGCCCTGGCAGGAAAGTTGTCAGAATCTTATCTCCAATTGGCCACCAGAAAACCAGAAGTGGCGCTGTAACTCAAAGTGGTAGAGTGCTAGCCTTGAGCAAAAAAGCTTAGGGACAGGGCCTAGGCCCTGAATTCAAGCCCTATAACTTCCCCCCCCCACCCCCAACAACAACAAAAACCTAATACTCAGTTTCTAAAGCAGTTTGAGGAATGGTTGTGAAAGATGACACTTTTGCAGTCATGATCACAGGCCAAATTGGGTACATTTGCTCACGATGTCTTCTATGAGATGAGAAGATTTTTTTCTCGTCTTCCTAATATTTCAGGAAATCATCTTCTTCCAAGATGGCTCAGAATGGAACACAACACTTGCCTGGCACCAGTGCCACCTTTGCCACGAGGAATGAAGTGGGAAAGACACTGCAGAGATCTGTAGAGAATGAAGAATCCTTGCTGCCGATGATCAGGCCCAACAGCTTCAGCGATGCCAAGGTGCTCCTTCCTCTCTCCATCCTCCTCCCCTCCCTTTCTTCCCCTCCCTTCCACTCCCCTCTTCCTTTTTTGTGCCAGTCCTGGAGCTTGAACTTGGCCTTGGCACTGTCCCTTGTACCTCCAGGCTGATGATACGCTACCACTTGAGCCACAGATCTGTTTCTGGCTTTTTGGCAGATAGTTGGAGATAATGAGTCTCACAGACTTTCTTGCCCAGTCTGGCTTTGAACCACAGTCCTCAAATCTTAGCTTCCCGAGTCTGTAGGATTACAGGTGTGAGCCACTAGTACCCAACCTTATGTTTTTTTTTACATGTCGGAAGAATTTGGTCATTGTTAAGATGTGAATCATTCAGTATTATTAATTGAAGGGAAATTCATGCTTTTTTTTTTTCCTTTCTTCTTCCTTTTTTGGGCCTTATGCTCTTGTTTGGCTTTTTCTGCTCAAGGCTTGTGCTCTACCAGTTGAGGCATGCCTCCACTTTTGACTTTGTATTGGTAATTGGTGATATGAATCTCATGAATTTGTTTGCCCAGGCTGGCTTTGCACTATGATCTTTATACCTCAGTTTAAGACCCAGGACTGGCATACACACACACGCATACAGAATCTAAAAATCAAGCAGAGAGTGATGGAGGCCTCAGGTACATATACTCAATCCATACATGTGTGTATGTTACAAATAATGCTAGCCAGACATGGTGGCATATGCCTGTAATCTCTGCACTCCAGAGATAGGCCAGGAAGATTGTGGTGAGTAGCCTGGATATAAACTCATACTCTTTCATTCACTGATGAATATTCTGATAGAATGTTGTGTGCTGCCTGTGTCAAAGAGTGTCTGTGATCATTTTCCCCCTTTCACTTGGAAAAAATTTGTATATTTATGATAAACGGAAATCTCTAATGCCAAGATATTTACATCCTCCCCTCCCCCCTATTTTCTTTTCCCAGGGAGGAACCGACCTGATAATTAATAGCTATGGTCCTGTAATTAAAAACAACACTAAGAAAAAGTGGCTTTTTTTCCAAGACTCCAAGAAGACAAAAGTGGAGCAGGTAATCCACCTACATGACAGGACTCTTTGGCCCCCATGGGAAAGGAGATCATAATGAAAAGGAGAGACAAATGTGGATGAATGTTGTTCATTGCTGCTCTCTCTGTGATAATGTTTTTCCTGTAAGGCATGCTCGTAGAGCGCTAAGGTGAGTAGTAAGAATCGACGTCAGATTGGCGGGGAGAGCAGGGGGCGCAGGCCAGTGATCCCAGCGACTCTGAAAGTAAGCACAAGGCCTGGCTGGACAAAACGTTTGTGAGACCCCCATCTCAACCAGTAACAAAGGTGGGCAAGGGAGTGGGTGTCTGGCATGTGAGCTGCGCAGCCAGGGTAAAGAGGATGGCGAGCCAGGCTGACCCAAAAACAGCAAGATCTTATTTGCCAAAATTACTAAAGCCGGTGGCTCACACCTGTAATCCTAGCTACTCAGGAGGCTGAGATCTGAGGATCCCGGTTCAAAGCCAGCCCAGGCAGGAAAGTCTGTGAGACTCTTATCTCCAATAAACCACTAGAAAACCAGAAGTGGCGCTGTGGCTCAAGCGGTAGAGTGCTCACCTTGAGCTGAAGAGCTGAGGGACAGCACCCAGGCCCAGAGTTCAAGCCCCACGACCGACAAAAAAGAAATAAATAAAATAAAATTTACTAAAGGAAAAAGGGGGCCTGGGTGTGGCTGAAATGGTAGAGCAATTTCCTAACAAGCACCAGGCTCTGAGTTCAAACCCAAGTGCCACTAAAAAGAAGTGGTTAGGGAGACCCTAGATGCGCATGCCATCGAATAGGTGGGCCTGGTAATGGTGTGCTCAGGAGGACAGGTGGGAAGCCCCGGGTTGCGGGGGGGCGGGGGGGCGTGGAGGGGAACAGGGACAACTCAAAGACACTTGGAAAACAATCTAAACAAAAATGACTGGCCCAAATGGTAGAGCCCCTGTCTAGCACGCATGAGGCCATGAGTTCAAACCCTAGTACTTTCAGAGTCAGAGCTGTGATTTCAGAAGGGCCGGGGAGGGAGCAAAGCAAAACAAGCCTGAGGAGGGCAAGAAAGAGGAGGAGGAGGACGAGAAGGGGGAGGTGGGGAAGACGAGGGGGAGGGGGAGGTGGCATGGAAATACCCGCAGACTTCTGGCAGGCCCTTCTGCTTTGCTCCCAGGGTGTGGCCATGGCAGGGCCTGCTCGCTGCTCACTTTCACCTGTTTCCCTCCAGCCTTCCAGAAGATTCCCTCAAGCCGCCTGCTTCTACCAGCCGGGCACCACGGTGCTGGTGACTGCCGCCTCCCCCAGCCCCCCAGGCCCAGCCAGGGGCTCCCGGGCGCCCTTCCTGTCCGCCCCAGATGCCCCGGACGCCGAGCATTCTGCCAACAGCGAGGGCAGCCACGAGACTGGGGATTCTGGAAGGTTCTCTCATGAGTCCAATGATGAGATACACCTGTCATCCGTTCTAAGTACCACACCCCCGGCCCCTCATTCTCTTCCTGGTGGGGATCCACTCGTGGAGCCAGGGGACAGGAGGGGTGCAGGCGCTCAGCCTGGGGAGACATGACTGCTGCGTGGAGGTGGCTCAGGTCCTCTCCCTCCTCCCTCCTCTCCCTCCTCCCTCCTCTCCCTCCTCCCTCCTCTTCCTCCTCCCTCCTCTTCCTCCTCCCTCCTCCCTAATCTCCCTCCTCCCCCCCCTCCCCTGCCAGGCTGTTCCAAGGACCAGGAGCCAAAGCCTTTCATGAATGTGCTGATGTCCTTTTAGGGATTTGAGCCTTTGAGGATGTGTGTGTGATTATTGTTGCTGTTGTAATGCTGAATGTGAAGAGACAGTGGAGGCGGTGTCTGCATTGTGGACAGTATCACTGGAGCAAAGGAGAGACTTGGGAAAGCCTTTGCTGATTATCTACCTCAGTTTGCCACATGGCGAACTCCGGAGACAGCTTCGTCCCCCCTTCTCTTGTCCTCCTCGCTCCGCGGCGTGGGAAGCTGGCGCGTGGGGCTTGTGTGTGCACCGCCGTGCGCGTGGCGTGCACAGGTGGAGGACGAGGCCATCTCTGAAGCTCTGTTTTTTGTGGCGGTGGTGAACACTGCAACGCTTGCAGGATTGGTGCGGTGGAGCGCTCCGGCCGTGAGGGTAGCTGAGCCGCTGAGAAGAGGGAAACAGAGGCTGTTTCAGTGACAAAGCAAGTGTTGGCTCTTGTGAGGACGGCGCTGCCCTGCAGCTGCGTGGCGTGGCGTGGCGTGGCGTGCAGCCGCTGTTGGGTCTGGGGGATTAGAGTGAGCTGCCTGCGCCAGGCCTTTCCTCCTTCTCCCTCTGCCTGTCAGCTCGCTTGGAAAGCATCTTCCCCATTTCCCGTCTTAGTTGCAAAACCCTATGCAGAAAAAAAAAGTGCATTTTTTTTCTTTAGAGAATAGGGTTTTCTTTTCAATCCCAATTTGGCATAAAGCACTAAAAATGAAGATTAAAAAAAAAAAGTAACAGGTGACTGACAGGAAGAAGAAGTTGAGATTTTCATTTCCCAGTGCCTTCCAATATATACTATGAAATGTTTTGCCTTAGATCTTTTTACTCTTCGTGAAGTTACTTAGGGATACAAAAAGTTGCCTTAACAGTTGTTTTGTTGTTGTTGTTTATCAATAACGATTTTGATGTACAGTAACTTGAAAAGTGCAGGTTTTGTTTAGGGGATGAAATGTTCAGAGCTCTACTGTCTTAACTTGTGTTCTTCTGAATTCTTGAAGAGAATTTGGTATTTGGTACTTTGGGTTTACTTTTCCTTTCCTGTAATGCTGGGACAGAGAAGGGGGTCCCATGGCCTCTTATTATGTTTTCGTATCTCCTAGAAATGACCCCTCCCTCCCTCCCTCTCTCCCTCCCTCTCTCCTTCTCTCCCTCCCTTCCCTTCTCCTTCCTTCCTTCCTTCCTTCGTCCTGGGGCTTGAACTCAGGGCCTGGGTACTGTCCCTGAGCTTTTTGGCTCATAGCCAGTATTAATTGAGCCATAGCTATACATCTGGCCTTTTGCTGGTGAACTGGAGCTATAAAAGTCTCAGGGACTTTTCTGCCTAGGCTGGCTTTGAACCTTGACCTTTAGATCTCAGCTTCCTGAGTAGCTAAGATTACAGGCTTGAGCCACCAGTGACTAGAATGAGTCTCTCTCTCTCTTTTTTTGGGGGGGAGGGGTCCGGTCGTGGGGCCTGAATTCTGGGCCTGGGCGCTGTCCCTCAGCTCTTCAGCTCAAGGCTAGCGCTCTACCACTTGAGCCTCAGCACCACTTCTGTTTTTTTTTTTTTTTTTTCCTTATGTGGTGCTGAGGAATCAAACCCAGGGCCTCAGGCATGCAAGGCAAGCGCTCTACCACTGAGACCTTCCCAGCCCCTCTCTGTCTTTTTTTTAAGGTCACGTTAAATTATACTCAAATTCTTTTTTTTTTTTTTTTTTTTTGGTCTAGGTAATAACTTCCTAGCCATGGCCTGTTGACTGATGACAGAACATTTTGTCATAGTCTCGCCTTTTCTTCTCTCTTCTTTCTTTGTGGTTTGGTGCCACACTGGTTATATTCAGAAGCAGACTCTATATATGCGGCGTCACTGCTTCGGTACTAAGTTCAAAGTTGTCCCCTCTTTGGTTAAGTTTGGCCTTCTGGCAAAAGAAAAAAAAAACGGCAACAAAAAAAAAAAAAGAAAAAGCAGAGCTTTAGGTGAATCATCTGAAGTTGAGGGGAGATGCTGCTCCTGCCTTTATGGCTCCTGTTTTATACTACCTCCTTTAAAGCTATGCTAGTGTTACTTTGCCTGGACTCAGGGAGTGCCGTGCGGCATGTTGACAGGGTATGGCGGTGGGTGGGTGGGTGTAGATGTTTGTAGAACCAACTTCATCGGTATCCCAAAGTCAGAAGCACGACGGGATTGTTTTTCGTTTTTAAAACAGAAAGCTGTAGATGTAGGACCGTATGAATTTTGAACCATCTTATCTGCCTGAAAATAATAATAAACTAGATCCTTAGTTCGGGTAGATATTTTGGACTTATTCACCTTTTTTTTTGTACTTTCCATTTTTTTCATGTACAGATTTTTTGCATTATCTATTACCAAAGAATTTTCAGGAGAAAGTGAAATTTTGATTATTACTTCCCCCCCACCCCAGTTGAAATTGAATTAGTTAGAATGAAACGTATACAAGCAATTACACCAACCGAGGTTTACTTTGCTTTTGTTTTTTATTTTTTGTAGTAATTAGATTAGTAATGCTGACTACCTCATTATTACCAGAGCATTTAAAATAAATTGTAATTACCTTCTCTATCAGCATATAGTTCAAAGGAAATTCAAGTATAATTTTTTTCCTTCAGCAAGTATATATGTTCAGCTACCCAGTATTAAAACTAGTATTGAAACTAACCTGTTGGAGAGGGAGAGAAAATCTTTTCAACAAAAGTAAATATTTTTATTATACTGAATAAGGTACTGAATGTGAGCAAAGACTTCCTTTTACTTGGCCAAAAAACTTCTTTGAAGTCTGAAATATGAATTTGTGACTTAAAATGTGAACGGTCTCTTGTGGTATTCACTCCTAAGGGGTGAATATGTAGCAAGAACCTTTTTCTTTTCCAAAGATTTATTTGCTGTCATTACTGACACATGCATGTCATTTTTTTAATGCCAAATATTACAAGATACTGCTCATCAGTATTTTCATACCAAAGACCATTAAAATAGAGAGTTTAGCCTGTAAGAATGAGCAGATGTGAAATAAATTTATTTAGAGGCAGATAGAGAATCTAGCTTTAGTTGCAAAGGATATTCAAAAGGTTAAGTTTACATAAGTAAAAGCAATACGTTGGTATTTATCGGTGTTTATTCTAAAATCCTTTACATTGGCAAGTTAAAAAGAAAAAGAAAACCAAAGATATTTAAGGTTACCTCCACATGTAGGGAAATTGAGTTGTACATTAAACTTTTTGTTCCTTGTTTTTGTGTTCAACAACTTTGTCTTTCTCAAAGCTATTCTACATACACAAATCATCCATAGAGACTTTCCATGAAGTCTGCTGACTGAGCCATGGGATCTTTTTGCCAAATGGTGTGATTCTTTTCTAAGCACCTACTTTGTGAGAAGTTGAGAGGAAGCCCAGAAAGCTATGGTAACCCCACAATTAGCCTGTACAATCTTCTTCCTCTTTGTAAAGTGTCACTTGGCTAGAGGTGGCCCTGAGGAATGGGAATACTGTCATCTGCAGAGCTAAAATGGATGCAAAACATATATTATGTTCTTTATTTTATTTTTGTACTGGCGGTGAGACTTGAACTCAGAGCTTAGGCCCTGTCCCTGAGCTTTTGTGCTCAAGGCTAACACTATTCCGCTTGATCCACAGCTCTACTTCCGGCTTTTTGGTGGTTAACTGGTGATAAAAGTCTCATGGACTTTCCTGCCTGGGCTGGCTTTGAAACTTGATCTTCAATTCTCAGCCTCATGAGTAGCTAAGATTAGAGGTGTGAATCACCAGCTTGCCTCAGCTTATCATGGTTTAAGTGAGTGGTGCTTATGTGCTCTTCAGCGCTATTGAGTTGAAATTGAATTATTAAATTGAAACATGTCCATTGTGTCAAAAGAGTCTGGTTTTCAAACTAAAACTGACGCCTTAGGAGAAAGAAAGATACTTTTTAATGAGATCTGGAGTTTGATATCATTAACCTAAAAGTAAAGACTCACCGTGACTTTTCAAATTCAGCTTTGCCACGCTGAGGAAATTAGATCCCCCATGAAATTCTACCCTTCTTTTTGCTTGGCTTTAGACAGAGATGATACTAATGGGAGAACTATGATTTATTTATTTATTCTTTTGCCATCTTGTCTTACCTTTGTTAAGGGTATCGATGTTAACAATTCAGGTCATAGTTTAAGCCCAGAGGATGAACCCTTTGGAAACATTTCTGAGTTGGTCACAAAAAAAGTAATAGAAAGTATCTCATATATATATATATATATATATATATATATATATATATATATATGAATACAAGAACATCCAGATAGGCTTACACTTCAGCAGTGGCTATAATAGTTCACATATATATATATGTGTGTGTGTGTGTACTTCATTGAATGTAAACCTTTAATACTGAATGTAAAAAAACCCAAACAAACCAAAAAGCATGTTTCTACTATGTCAAAAGAGTCATGGTTACTTGAGTCTCACTGTGTTTTCTGCAGGCTTTGGTCTCTGATAAGGTTTAATCATCAAAATAACTTTTTGCCACCTGTGACCCCAGAGTGGAGGGGAGGCCAGGTTCTGGAGACCAGTGTTCACACCCAGTTGTCCGATGGTTAGTTGTGTTGATGGTTAACCGCAGATTAATTCCGTGTTAGGTTGATGTATACTCAGGACCTAAGATCATAGGCTAACGCAACGTGTGTGTTTGCAGGCTTCTTTCTAAAATCTCTGGAGGTATTTTAAATTGCAACACCTAATTAATCTTCGAGCTCTGTCGATCTCTGTAGATGAAAATCAAGGTGTGGGTAGAGCTTCTGGAAGCCTTAGGTAATACAGGATTCATTCCTTTG